CCCTGGGACTCAAATTCTTATGGTTCTACCCTTTCAAAGGACATTTCTCCAGAAACACCTACAGTTGCCCAATTCCTAGTGTCCCGCCATCTGACTGAAGAGAAGTCCTTCCCGTTGAGCTTGGTGCTAGGGGACAGGAGGAAATTTAGGGTCCAAAGACTGGAAAATTCAGCATTCCTCCAGTGGGTTATTTACCAGGTAAGACAAAATGCCCCGGTTACATGTGCAAACTTGAAATGCATGGACCATCATGGACTGGAGATGCTAACAGTAGCCCCCTAGGCAACTTGCCAAAACACACAGCCTTTCAGTGTGTGTCCTTCCAAGACCATGGCAGCCCTGCTGGATAGGGACTTTCTTCTCAAGTATTAGGATTGCTGTGGGAACCTATCTCTGTTCACTGAAGACAAGAGAACAGAAGCCACGTGAACCCTTCATGGTCGTGTTTGTAAGTGCCAACACAGGACTTCCTAGCATTGTAACCATCTGTGTGCTTCCAATGTGTATGAGCAATGAACATCGTGGAAATGACATCATCATCTCCAAGGAAACCGTGTCGACAAGCTCCATCACTGACTTCCAAAGGCAACATCATCCAGAAACAGCAGGTTTTAGGATGCACACGCAGTAATGAATCTTCCCTCAGTTTCTTCTGTATCTTCCTATCAAACCTACCTATCTGGACTCTGTTTGGCTCATTACAAAGCCCTGAAATCCTGCACAGGAGATGTCTTAAAGCTATATGCAGTGTGTCTCTTAATAGATACTATAGGTATCTACATCAGATTTCAACACAAAACTGAAGAAATACTTTTTTTTTGGCTTTTAGATTAATTTATTGCTTTATTTTTCCAGTTCTATTAGCAATGTCTATGTACCTATCCTCAGGAGTTCAGATCTGAAGAAATACTTTTTTAAGCGACTACTTTGAATCTAGGTCCTTGGGATAACCTTATCATTACCGTCTTAAAACTTGTTGTTTAGCCTGCTTCCTCCACCCCCTCATGTTTTTTAACCCAGGCCCTAAACTGCAAAGGACTGGACAGTTGCCCCTGGTATTTCCAATACACATCTCACAGACTCTCCCCAGTTTCCTTCAGCTTCTGCCATTTTGTTTCTACCTGAAAACTAAAGACATTTGGGGAAAAGGCTGACCAGTTAATGGCGGGGTAGGGGCTTAAAGGTGTGGCTCAGTTGATAGAGAACTTCCCTACCATTCCCAAAAGCCCTGGGTTTGATCCCCGGCAACCCATAAGCTGTGTGGTGATGCGCCCCTCTCACCTCAGCATTCAGGAGATGGGGGCAAAGGGAGCAGAAGTTCAAAGTCATTCTCAGATACATGGAAAGTGGGAGGCGTCCTTGGACATGTGAGACCCTCTCTGCCTCAAGTGTATATGCTGGGAAATCTATCATGAGTTCTATGGCCCAAGGCACAGGCTCCCATCCTCAGTCTTAATGCTTTTGTTCCTTTGACTCTGGTCTGGCTGTGACAGAGTCTACTCTTCCTTACCAGTTGCCAGGCACGTGGAGTGTCACTGACCCTGCCACATTCGGCAGTAGAGGTAACGAAGTTCATCTGTCTTCAGGGCCGACACGTGATGGCTTCTCACGCTGCCCCTCAGATTCACAGGCTTGCCTCCCCAGTTGGAGTGTTGAGATGGCCTTTTGCTGGCGTTCATTCTTTACATAATATATTAGGTGATGATTGCTATGCTCAGTGGGCCATCGTAATGTCCACGTTAAAACTGCAAAAATTATGCCATTACTAATCGTCGCCCATGATTTGATCTTTAAAGGGCATTGTGTGATTTTCATAGTTCCAAATATTTTTCTGTTTCAGGGAAAACAAATTCAGGTTCGTGGTAAATAAAGGTTAGTAATGTCTTCCAAGTATTCTGTTATCCCACAGTTCCTGAAACATTGACAAAGCCTTTGGAACTTCAGGACGATACAGCTGTGCTGATTTAGGGCTTGTTTCTGGTTAGCCTTGCACCTGGCTTGTATCTGAATGGCAAAAAGTAGGAAAAGTAGGTGGTTGAAGCTTTAAGGCTTTGAAGCTCTAAGGTCTACCTTTAAATGAAGGCGGCAATCATTTATTTAGTGAATGTGACAATATTTTTTATGTGTATAACAAATCTAATGTCACATTAAAGACTCAGCAATGATGCTGTGAGGTGGGTAACACAAATGCAGGAAGGAGATCTAAGTTAAACACTCCACTGGAGCCCAGAGTCCTGCTAACACGTCTGGGCTCTTGGTTTAGATCACATGAAAGCTGTTCTATTATATTCATAGGTTGGTGCCTAGCCCAACTTCACCCAGCAACTGATAGAAACAGATGCAGAGACCCCCATCTAAATATTAGGCAGAACACAGGGAATCTTGCAGAAGTGGGGGAAGATTGTAGGACCCAGTGGTGTTAAGGGAACCAGAAGAAAACCCACAGAATGAACTAACCTGGGTACACAGGCACTCACAGAGATTGAACCAACAACCAGGGAACCTGCATGGACCCGACCTAAGCACTCTGCATATATGTTACACTTGTGCAGCTTGGTCTTTGTGTGAGATTCCCGACAGTGAGAACGGGACCTGTCTCCGACTCTGTTGCCTCTTACTGGATTGCCTCATCCAACATTGGTGGAGCAGTGGGTGCCTGGTCTCAGTGCAGCTTGACATCCCATGGCTGGCTGATATCATGGGATGCCCACCTGAATCTGAAGAGAAACAGTGGAGAAGAGTGGGTGGGGGTGGGAGCTGGGAAGAGGGGAAGGAAGGGAAGCTTTGGTTAGGATGTAAAAACAAGAAAATTTTTTAAAAGAGAGGGGAAAAAAAACATTCCCAAGAATGGAAAAAAAAATGTAGGTGAGCAAGTCAGGTATGGTGGTGCTCATTTTTAGTCCCAGAATTCAGAAGGCAGAGACAGAAAGATTTCTGTGATTTTCTAGCCAACAATGTGAATTCCAAGACAGTTAGGGCTACACAGAGAAACCTTGTCTCAAAAAACCAAGCAAACAAAATGTAGCTAAGGGCATTCATTCCGATTTTTAGACTATGATTCTATGGCCAAATTGACCAGTTTAGTGTGTGGTTGTCTAAGCTATGCTGTTCCGAAACTATAGACATCAATAGTAAGAGTAGATTCACATATGTAACACACACACAGTGCTTGTATGCCATCGTGTCATTTTTCCCGGTGTACTTATGTGATGTGGTTGTTTTCAACGTGCTAAAAGTTTAAAAGACTAAAATAAAGACCAATGAAACAGATGCTATTGATTATTCCAATATCAATCAATGGAGAAAGTGAAGCCTCGGGAGTTTCAGTAACCTTCCCAACGTCACACAGCTACCAGGAATGCATGGGGAACCCACAGCAAGAGCTTTCCATCAGATGAAACATAGGAAAGCAGCTCCAGTCACAGTTCAAAGGCAGTGCCCTGCATGTGTGGGCAACGACACGTACCTGCTGTGTCTGAGAAAGGAAAGTTCCTGGTAAGAGAAGGCTTAAGAATGGAAGGTGCTTCTGGGACCGGGGAGGTGGGGCAGCAGAAGCTGGTGGCAGGGTGTGTTGCTGCAGGCGGTGTGTCCTGGAGGCACCAAGGACACCCGGGAGCGAGGACAGGCTCTTCTCCTCCTTAGCCTGAGGATCATTCTAGTGGCCTTAACTCATGGAGCCCAGAGAGAGTTCACCCCTGTGCTTCCTGAGAAACCACCTTCCTCCTGGCAGTGCAGTGAGGGAGCAAGAGGAAAGACCGGGAAGGCTCAATGGGTGGAGAGTAGACGCCAAGTTAAGGGAAGCTGCTCCTGATCCCCACCAGCTCCCACAACCCTGCTACCCCTGCTCCACCTAAATCATAAACAGGAGCTAGAAAGAGCTGGGTCTGTAGAGACCCGGGCTAGAGAGCTAGACCTAGCTGAACACCCGGGAGTGACAGTGTTATACTCATGTTCCATGTTCACACAGCGGGCATGGCAGCTGGCTGCTGAGACAAGGACCAAGATCCTGACTCATGATTCCAATGGAAAAGAAATGCATAAAAACCCACAGACAGAACTCGGTTCCTCTGGTTGAACATGAAGTAAGAATTTAAATGGCTCATTAACATAATGTAACTTATGGGCTTTAATAATAATGTGTCAATATTGGCTCACGTATTGCACTAATGAACAGTGTTAAGAGCAGAGGAAGGTCGTCAGGTGTATGTGTGTGTGGGGGGGAGTGTCTATACAGACATTCTCTGCAATTTATCTGCATTTTTTCTATGAGTCTAAAACCACTCTTTTTAAAAAATGTCCATTGCTTTTTTTTTTTTTTTTTGTAATTGGTTGCTATGGTCTGTTTGTAGCTTATAAGACAACGTGAGTTTTCAGGCCTCCGAGACAATACATTGCAACTAAGTCCATGGCCCAAGAGTTTGGGCTCTTCCGATGGGCTGGAAACCCACTCCAACTGTTTAAATCAAGCTCCGTTTTGCTACAGAACAAGTAAATATATAACAGGCTGTTTGAAAGTTGATCAAAACTGGGAACTTCCCCCTTAAAAATCTATAAAGTTTGGAAGACAGGTAGCAGGTGGCTGACTCTGCTAAGAGACAAAGGAAACTGTTAGCCAGCTTTCTTTTTTGCTGTGTCAAAATGCCTGCTGTAATCACCATACTAGAAGGAAAGCATCATTCGGGTTTCCAGTTTTGGGGAGCAGAACACCATGACAGAATGGAGTGGTTGAGGAAGTCCCTGCCTGGTGGCTTACAAGTAGAGAAGAGGAGGTTAAGCCCCCATGACACTACTGGAGTTCCCGGCCACTGTAACCTAACATCCTTCCACCAAATCCCACCTCATAAAGGTTCCCACTTCTCAGAAGCACCTAGCTGGGGACCAAGCAACACATGAGCCCTTGGGGAACACAGTGGCCAGCAGAAGTTCTTCTGACGTTCCCCTTCCACGTGCCTTAGACAGGCACCGAGACAAACACTCTGCACTCGTGAGGTGTAGTTAGCAATGCAGTTCGTTTTTATTCATTGTAAATAAAGTACAAAAAAATCCACCCAAAGTGAATCTAAGCGTTTACACAATTCCTAATGTCTCCGCCTGCTCGTTGATGCACTATTGCTTTAATAGTCATAATAAATATTTTTCTAGCTTTCTGCTATAAAATAGTCTATGTAGCAAAAGGTTGCACAGCACAACAGAAGAGAACAGCAGGAGGATTACAAAAGAAGGACAATCAACACCAGGGGTAATCCTTTCACCTACCAGGGGCAGCAAATGACCCCTCGGAGAGCCTGGCGTGGCCCTCTCCACAGCTGAGGGGGGAAAGACCGCATCCCAGAGTGGGGAGGCTCAGGGTGGGTCATAGCCAGCCAGAGCGTAGGGCCTGTCTTCCTCTGACCCCACACAACGGCATAACACGGCCATGCGGAGCCCTGAAGGGGGCAGTGTCTGCCAGGTCTGGCAGTGTGTGATGATTGTGCTCCACCAGCGTGGTGGGTGACTCCACAGGCCATCTCCAAGGAAAGCAAGGCTCCGGGGTATCGGCAGAGGAGAAGCAAGGCAGCAGCAAGCAAGAAGCCCCAGCCCAGGGGTGGGGCCGAAGGACCACATCTGGTCTAGCCACACAGGTAGGTGGTGTGGCAACCCCAGGTCTTAATTTCCTCCTTCGTGCCAGAGCTATCCAAACCCACGGGGCCTCCTGTGGAGGGTGGAGCTACCCACCAGGCAAAGGCAGTGATGTCAAGAGCCAAGAAAGGGGGAGGGGTGAGTGAGGAGAAGAGGGAGAGGGGAGGGTCGGCATGCCAGGGTGCCTGCCCACTCACAGGCTTAATCTATGGCCGCTTCCTCGAGGCCTCCTCACCATCAGCTCTTACACAGACTTGCGAGTCTGGAGCCAGACCCCTCTAACTCCACAGCAGGCGCTAGTATCTGCAGTATCTGCAGCCTCTGTGGAACACAGGCAAGGAGCGGTGGTGGGGAGAAGGCATGGTGCAATTCTATATCCCAGTGCTGGCCAACGAGGGATGGCGCAACCACGAAGGTTCCAAACAAGCCTGGTGGTGGTGGAGGGTGCGGATCCCAAACACCCTAGTCTGGGAGTTCTAGTCTCCCAGCTAGTTCCCTCTGGCAACAGGACATGGATCTCCGCTCAATCTGGGAATGACCTAGCCCTGAGAAAGTCCACGTTTCACACCCAAGGATGTAGCTACCTAGTTGGCCTCCTTGCCACCTGCAGGACGCAGTATTTAAGAGGACCCTGCGGGTGCCTGCTCTGACCAGCTCTCTAAGGTCATTCTTAACTGACTCCCTCTGGTCTCCATTTCTCTCCGTGCCTTCCCCCTTCCTTTCCTCTTCCGTCTCTCCCAAGAGAATGAGACCCATCCTTGTGATCTCACCTGGGACTGTGGTATATTCTTTCTGAATTGGGGGACCCATCTTGCCCCTCCCCCCCAAGAACAGAAAGCTGACTCAGGAAAACCCGGAACTTGCCCTTGATCCCAGGGAGCCAGCTGTGGAGCTGGTGTAAAAACCAAAGTCTTCCGGCCTTCCCCTTAATAAAACAGGCCTTTTGACTTTCAGAGGACCATGCCCGCCGTGACTGAAGGACCCCAATTCTGGAACCATAGTGAGTGGGAGCCCAGGAGTAGCCAATGACCCCCTTTGCCCTGAGACAGTCCTCAGGGGAGGGAGGATGAGTGGGCTTGAGGAGGTAGGAAGGGGGAGGGAACAAGGGAAGCAGGCTTGAGGTGGGAAAGAGGGCTGGGGGAGGGGCCAAGGGTGCCAAGTGAAAGGATTACCCCAGCCTGCTGACGAGTGCAAATTATATTTATATATGTGCTAAATACAGTCACTATGTTGGAGCTTTTCACTAGATCACAGCATACAGAATCAAAGGTTTGCATTTCGTATGGAATGTATCCAAAGAGGCCAGCACCACAGTAGGACAGCTTGCAATCACACACCCTGATAGTTTGGACGAAATAAAGTTCGCAGACTTTTATTTAAAATGGGTTTTTTGTTTGTTTGTTTTCGCAGTTGTCATCGTACCAATGCATGCAAAGCATTCCACTCCCAGAAACGACGCCAAAATGAGGTAATAGGAGCAATAAAAAACATTAGTATCCTTTCTAAATAAATAAATTATAATTAAAAATGCAAAACAACTATAAAAATAATTAAATAAGAACCCACGATATCTACAAGTTAGTCATAAATTATGATTGTTAAATATAAGGCATTGAAACTCACAAAACCCTGTAAACTAGCAACGTGCCATGTTTTTTATTTTTTGTGTTTTTTTTTTCTTTTTTTGTTTTTCTATCAGCTGAAATCGCTCTAGCATTTGCTCTACACGCGCGCGCGGAAGATGAAACACAAGGGGACCTGACAGACGTTGCTACAGCCCCACGTGGGGAATGTTTGTCCCGCAGGCAGGGCGGCTTGGGGGATTTCTTCAAGAAAAAAAACAATAGTCTGGTGCTTTTTCTTCACCATTGAAAAAACTGTGCTTGTTCGTTAGGCGTAAAGAGTTAAGAATGCTTGCACGGAGGCTGGGGGCCTTTGCAGAGGAGAACTTGAGGCCTGTCACAGGTGGTGGCGAAAATGACACGGGGACCTGGGGGCCTAGCCAGGTGGAGGAACGGAACGTGCAGCCCCTGCTGCCCTCTGCCTGTGCCCAGCTGGATTCGTGGCTTGGGTTGATTGGTGTCCTAGGCGGACCTGCTGAGCCATGGCTGCGGTTAGGAGGCCCAACTTGAACCTGGGGCCGCTGTCAAAGGCACTCATGCGTCTCAGTCAGAAAAGGGTCTGAGTCCCTTGAGTTGAGCAGGAGAACTACATACGACTCTCTCCTGGAGATGGTAGATGTGAGATGCCGAGGCCTGGCCCTGCCTCATCTCCACTCAGCTCTGGCTCAATGGCCAGTCTGGGGACCCGGAGAGGAGGCTTTCCTCCAACCAATCAGAAGTCCCGAAACGGGGACTGGGCGGGTTCTAAGTGCTACTCCAGCCCCTACCATCAGGACACAGGGACCCCAGGTAGGTGGGAAGGGGAGGGGGCGGCAGGAACAACCCCTCCCTTGCCCCAGGCTGGGGCTTGCAAAGAGCCTGCGTGAACGGGAACAAGGAGAAACCACTCTACCCTCTCCCTCAGCCTGCGTACCTCAGCCTCTGAAGCAGGTATGTGGGGGCATAAAAGGCCTCTCAGTCTCAGCAGCATGGGCAGCAACAACTCTACTTGAAGGATGCATTGACCTTAGAAAGAATCACAGAAGGTGTGTATCGGGAGAATTTAGTGAGCATCCAATCCAACCTCCTTGGGTCGCAGCTGAGGAAGCCGAGGCCCAGCAGGGCAAAGGGTGTGGGTGGAGGTTCCAGCATCTCTCCGTTTGCCTGTGAGGAGCTGGGACTAGAATCAGGGACACTAGTTCCAGTCCCCCCAGGCCAATTCTCTTTCCCTGCCAGCCTTGCAGGACAGCCTCAACGCAAAGGGTAGAGAGTGAGTGGCCTCGGGGAGCAAAGACCTGCCTGGACCACCCCAGTTATCTCTGAGCCACAGTCTTATGGTGAAATCTTGGTTTTGGCATGGCCCCAGGGAGGAGCAGGAGAGAATTCACAAGTCCTGGTGGCTTTCGGTCAGCAGCTCCCTGACATCCTGACTCAAACATTCTTTCCCCACCTGGTGGGTATCCAGCCCTGGCGTTGGAGACATTGTCCAAGCAACCAAAGTTGTCCTGGTCTTCACTGTCTGACCGTCCACCATAAGCAATGTTGGATGTTCCCTGATCCTCTCATAATTCCACCAGGCAAAGACGTTGCCTTAGTGATCATCTTCATCAACTCTTGCCCCAGTAGGCACTCAACAGAGATTTTAGGAGACATCAGAAGATGGGTCGTGGGTGTAACCTTCGTCTGGATAGTGGATAGACAGCCGCTCCTTCGTGATGGTATCCGTTGTGCTAGAAAGTTCTCTCTCAAGTCCAGTGGTCCCCTGTCAATTTTGGTCCTGATTCATCCTCATGGGGTTTCTTCCTTTATCCGACCAGCACCCTAGCTCTTTGATACAGGAGCATTGAGACGGGCTAGGGGTCGAGGTTGGGCTGGATTCTGAGAGCAATGCCAATGAGGGACGACGAGGAGGGCCAGGGGCAAAGGAAGGTCACAGCATGCCAGGTGCCCTGTCGTTTTTTTTTTTTTTTACACGTGATTAAGAGCTACACTTGGGTTAGAATTAGCAGAATCAAACAATCAAGAGGCTAGGGACACGGGCCTCCCAGCCCAGGCAAGTGATCTCATAGCAAGGGCCATCTCTGAGGGGCTAATCAGACAGGATCCTGGAGGATGCTCAAGTTACTCCCAAATTTAGGGACTTGACTTCAGCCCTGAGTGCTAGCGAGAGCGTTGGCCAAGGCCAAGTGTACGCTGCCAATGCTATTTCATCTGCATCATCTGGTTAATTGTTTGCATAGGGAGGCAGTGGCTACATTGCCTCTTTGTGGCAAGACGAGAGCTCAGGATAAAGTTAGGAACTGGAGTGCGCAGGGGGCTGCTGGCTCCCAGGAACATAGGGCCACTGTGGCTGGAGACTGCGTCTTCCCTGGTTCAGTGTGGAACCTAGGAAGACAGCTGGGACCAAGCAAATGGGACCCAGGACTTGGGAGCTCACCTTTATATGGGCCCCCTTCAGTGGCGAGGGTTCTGCCCTCCTCGCCTTCCCCAAAAGCCTCAGAAACCCAGAGAGACCCCATCTGTTCCTTTTAAGCCCTACCCCCTTTTCAGATGCCCCTTCCACACTCCGTGCACTGTAAACATGAGAAAAACAAAGCCCAAGGAAAAAAAAACAAAAAAACAACAAACAAGAACCCCCCTCCCGCCTCCCAACCTGGGTGAAAAATTTTCATCCTTTTTCACCGTAAACAGGATTTGGCTTTTTTCTTTTTCTTTCTTTCTTTTTTTTTAACCTTTGATTCCTTTTTTTTTTTTCCTTTTTGCTCATAAAGACGGGAAGATTGGGGCTGTCGTTGGTTGGTTCGGTCAGGCACCAAAACAAGAAACTCAATGAGAAATATTTGGTGCAAGTTCAGTAATAGCGACATGTCCACCACAGATGACGAGAGCACCACACACGACATTTTTCTTAAGCTAACATGCTCTGGCTGCCATCCACAGAATAGCTAGAGACCCCTACATGGTTTCTACGTGGTCAAGAGGTATATACACAATCCTTCAAAGGACAGGATTGAGGGGCTGGTCACCAGCTAGTACCCTCGAGATCACATCTAGTTCTCAGCAGCTGGGCCCCCCGCTTCCCGCCCCTGCTCTGGGCACGGCCAGCTCCCTCCCCCTGCGCAGCAAGGCGATGAGGCAGTCACCATTCTGGATGGGTGGGTCCCCCCACCCCTTCCTCTCCCTCAGACACTAATACCAACTTCTCTTTCCACCAAATGTGCTTGCAGGCTTCTTCTCTACGTCAAATGGCTCAGAAGGCAAAGTTTGGCTGCAAGGGCTATGGCCGTGGGGGGGCGAGGGGGCGGGGCCTGGTGAAGGAAACGGGGCGTCCACTGGCTAGCTTCCTCCCTCAGCTGTCGGCTCCCAGTTGTGTCTCAATGTCCACTCGGCAGATGGGGCATTTCTTGCTCATGGCGAGCCACTGGTCCACACACAGTTGGTGGAAGAGATGCATACAAGGTAGGCGTCTGGAAAAGAGGAAAGTTGGTTTTCTGGATAAACCCAGACCCAGGGGTGAGACTATGGCTGAGATGAGAAACCATGGCTGCAAGTAACTCTCAAAGCCCTTCTTCCATAAAGGCCTTGGCGTTGGCTTAGACCCCTCAGAGCCGCTAGCACACTGTCGCCCCGCCCCCATGTTCGTGGTCACCACCTCTAGACTATTTCGCCCTCTGCTTTACTAGTGCAACCATGAAACATTGTAGCAGTGGCCTCTTACCTCACGTCTTCTCCATCCTCCAACATAGACAGACAGATCGTGCATTTCTCATCTGTGTCTGACTCCTCCCCTTCGTCTTTCTTGCCCTTGCTGTCCTGGGGTCTTCGCTGTGAGTAGAGGAAAGAAAAAAAAAAAGAACATTCATTTTAGTTACCTGATACCAGCTCTTGCTGGCCATTGGCTTTCACCCACAGGCTCCTCCCACACTGGTAGCCTCTTCCTTAGCTCATGGCTATCTCCTCACTCTTGCAGGGAGGTTAAAAGCAAGAGAGGAAGAGGCTGGTAGACTGCTGGTGGCTGTCCTAGACATTGTCAAGGGGCCCCGGGGTTTGCAAAGGACCTAGGCTCCTAGTCATTCTGCCCTGTGCAGAGCTACAGCCTGAGAATTTTGGCTTTCCCTGTCTCCCTCACATTGTCCACTCCCTCTCACACCCTGTCTAACATGTACCCCTGCCTCTAAGTCAGAATGTGTCATTCATTCATTCATTCATTCATACACACATTCCTCATTCATTCTTTCCACTAATGTCCATTCATCTATGCTCTCATTATTAGGTGAACACAAGATTTCTCCACCACCCTGAACTCCTTTAATTTGTACCACGTGGTTCTAAACTGTTTTCTATAGTTGTGCTTCTTTCCCTAGCAAGAAAGTTCCCTTAAGCTACTAAGCGGTAGGTCTAGTACGAGGTCAAACACCACGCAGCTGCTGTTCATACTTCCCGATTTACGCCTTTCTCTCCCTGATTCTACGGTAATTATTTGACAGCAGTTAAGCACTCTGCAGATCGTTTTCAAGTGGCACCTGTGGCCAAGTACAAGGCATGTCATTGCTGCTTAATAAATATTCTGGGGAAGAAAAAATGTAAGCAGTGAATTAAATCTGTGCGCCTTCCACGTCCCTATGCCCCACGCTGCAGATGTCTGGTTGTAAGGATGAGAGTAACCACGGACAGAAAGTCATCCAATCTGGCCTCGCTCCAGAGGCAAGCAAACTGCAAAGTCATGTTGCAAAGAGACACATGGAGTCACAGATGAAGACCAGAGAGTGACATTGGGTACATGTCAGGACTACCTCCCGAGTTGAGAGCTCAAAAGCTCCCTACTCTGATTTCATCTGGGGGTATCCCGCCCTGGTTAGAACACACAAGGAAGCCTATTGCTTCCACTGGCTGCACCCCCTCGTGTGCCCCGTGTCCCAGCTGCAAGTGATGCCAGGCTGCTGCAAGGTCCCTTTATCCAGAAAACCAAGAGTATCCATTATCCTACATGTTGGCCACGCATCATTTTTAGTATTAATAGAGTCATGACCCTCTGCCTGCTGAAGGTCGGCAGACTTTGTGGCAGGATTGGCTCCGCTAGAAGAGCAATGTCCAACCGAACAGCGTTAAGCCCCAGCCATATGCCTAGTTTCTATTGCTTTTAGCCACCATTTTTATGATTTCCTTTTTGTGTCATACCTTCACTTCAGCACTGTCTTGTTCAGCTATGTCTAATCCTTCCTTCTCTCCTTTCACAGCACATTTTTTAGCCTCAATATTTAATCTCTTAAATCTTTCTTTTTCTCCACTGTCTACAGAACTTTGTGATGTGGAATATTATTTTAACTAGGCAAAGATGTGCTACACTTATTTCTGCTGTGGATTATCACTTTGTGTAAAGGTGTGCTACATTTGTTTCTGCTGCATTTGTTAATGATGTAAAGATGTGTGACATTTGTTTCTGCTGCATTTGTTTAACAATTATGTAAAGATATGTTGCTGCCAAATGCACCTGAGTGGGCTAATAAAAAGAGGAATGGCCAGTAGTAAGGCAGGGTAGGGACTGGCGGGGTGACCAGCAAGAGAATAAGTAGGAGGAGAAATCTAGGCTTGGAAGAAGAAAATAATGAAAAGAAAAGGGGAGAAAGAGAGGCATATCCCGGGGCCAAAAGCCAGGCAGCTTCCAGCCAGATGTGGAGACAGCAGCAAAGTAAGATAGAAAGAAAGAAAGAAAGAAAGAAAGAAAGAAAGGCAGGAAGGAAGGAAGGAAGGAAGGAAGGAAGGCAAAATGTAGACAACGAGAAGTGGGTTAAGTTATAAGAGGTAGCAGGAACAAGCACAAGTTAGGACCAAGCATTCATAACTAATTTTAAGGGTAAGTGTTGTCATTTTGGAGCGGCTTGTGGCCCAAAAGAAAGCCTGGTGCAACTTTGATTTTAACTTCAACTTTTTTCAGCATTTATTTAATACTCACTACTCATCTACCTTCTTATTTCATCAGCATTTCTTTTTAACTTTGATAATCTTGGTTTTTGTTGTTTTGTTTTTGTTTTTTTGCTTTTCAAAACAGGGTCTTACTGTATAGCATTGACTGTCCTGTAACATAGAGATCCCCTGCCTCTACCTCCAAAGTTCTGGAATTAAAGGTGTGCCCTACCTACCATTCCTGACTTAACCTTGATTATTTTATACTTTGCTTTCATTCCTCTTCCTATTCTTATTTCTTTCATATGGTCCTATTCTTAATGTCTATATATTCTATTTTTATTATTAGTTAAAATACACTTTTACTTTATATTATTTTAGTCTCTGTTAAAAATTTTAAAATTGTTTTAACATTGTATTTGGATCCTAAGGTTTATTAAAGTTGTCTTACCTTAATTCTTCCCATTCCTTCTCTACAATATTTTTCTCTTGATTCTGCTTGAGTTTTACTACTCCTATTTATTCTCACTGATCCAGCTCCCTGAGCTGATATATTTATATGGTCCCCAGTTAGTGGAATTGTTTGGGATGGATTAGGAGGTGTGGCTTTGTCGGATGACATATGTCACTGGAGGCAGACTTTTAAGATTTCAAAAGACTTGTGCCATTCTTTTTGGATCAAGATGTAAGCTCTCAGAGGTTCTTTCTGCCATGCCTTTGTTCTGCCAATGGGGTCTCCAACCTCCTGAAACTGTAAGCCCAATTAAACACTTTCTCTTATGAGTTAACTTGGTCATGAAGTTTTATCATGACAACAGAAGTAACAAACGTGGTGGGGACACTGTTTGCTCATTTGTGCTCTTTGATACTGACACCCAGCACACAGGCTCACCGTTGGCTATTCCTGGACACCAGGCAAGTACCCGGCCCTATGTATGAAGCTTCACCATCCCACTGCGTCCTGAAGCAGCCACGTTGAAAACAGAAGGAATGGGCCACTGTCCACACCCACACAGCCATGCTCAGAAGAAGTGAAACTCAAAACTGGCTGACTTTAGTCCCATGTGATTTCAACTACTGCTGCATTGGGTATCAAGAGAGTGAATGAAGGTCTCTGGGTACACCACGATGAACCTTGGCCTGTCCTTATTTTCTCTAAATTTGTTTCATTTTCATTTGGCATTAACCTTTTTGGTATAGTGATTCAAGGTTACACAAAAACTAAGCAACAATAATGTATTTTCAACTTCCATTATAGGGAGCAAAGGAAGTCCTGAGTTGTTGGGACCAATTGGAGTCCTGGCCTTCAGCTGTTCTTCCCTGCTCAAGCCTTCTGATTGGAGTTACTAAAAGCTGTGCCTTGCCTAGAGGATCGGAGGATGGGGTTTTCACCTGTTGGCCCACTTGACTGCTGAGTATTTAAGCCTCCATGGTGTTATGAAATAAAGGGCTTTGTACCAGTGATTAGACATCCGTGTGTCTGTCTGTCTCTGTGTGTGTTTGTGTTTTCTCAACCTCCAGCCCCTTACCCAAAGCTCGCGAACTATATTGTACCACAAAGAGCGCAGACAGGCATTGTACGCTGCAATGAGTGATGAAATCCTTGTTGAGTGTGTATTTTGACATGTGTATGGTCATGTCAAGGATGCCCAAGTCCCAGACTCGTGGGACAACTGGCAAATCTGTTACCCATAATGCTGGGTCTCAAAAGAAATGGCAAAGCTTCTCTTGAAAGTCTGAGTGTTTACATACATTTCATCAAGGTGTGCAGACTAGCAACTTCAGTTTCCTCTGCCTAGATGTTTGCGTCCAGCTTCCCTACAGAGACTACCAGCCATGCTGAGGTTCCGGGCTGCAGTGGTCACCTTAGAGAACCCTACCTGAACCCAGCTTCATTGTATGTGTGTCTGTGTTTTTTCATTCCCTCACTGCCCCTAGCCAGGATTCTAGGACCCAAGCCACAAGCAGGATGTGGCCCCACCTCTCATATTACATGGTAAACTTGGGACAAGTGATGAACCAATACTGGCCATTATTAGCTCAAGCCTGTTAGTTTCCATGAGTTAAGGGTTGGAGCTGAAATGTTGCAGGTTTGACTGCACACTGGTGGCTTTGGAAAGTGTTGTCGGGGCATTGATCTTATTAATTGATTAATCCACTGTTGCATTCCTAATTTGATAACATTATAGGTGGTGGGAACCAGGAGGTACGACCTAGTTGGAGGAAGTATGTCACTGTGGGCGTTCCCTGGAAGAGTGGACCTCCTTCCCAGCATTTTCACCCACTCTGTTTCCTATCTACCAGGCCTTGCCACAGTCCCAGAACCAGAGACAAGAAACCACAAACAGACTTCTCAAACTCTGAACCCAAAAGAATCTTCCCTCGCGGAGGAGGCTTTCTCGGGGAGTTTGTCGCAGTGATGAGCAAGCTACCTGACTCAGGCGGATCCTGCCTTGGGGTTTTGGTAAATGCATTATGTCACCTGTTTAAATAACAATGTCATACAAAATAATTTGCTGCACTAACAAAATCCTGGCACTCTGCCTGTGCCTTCTCTCCGCAATGGCAATCCCTTATCTTTTTTCTTTTTATTCTTTCTGTTGTATCATTTCCAGGATGCCATATAGTTCACAGAATACAGTTTACAGCTTGTGGGCTGTCTTCTTTCGCTTTTTAGTGTATATTTAAGCTTCCTCCACAGTTCTTCATGGCTAATGAATTATTTCTTTTTATTATAAAACAATAACCCATTATGTATGCTTACTTGTCTACTTATTAAAGAACACTTTGGCTTCTTCCATGTTTTCATTTCTTTTAATTAAAATAATGCTTTAAAAGCTCGTATTTGTGGGTACCAGCCCTACAGATTCTACTTCTAAGGTCAGTGGGTACGTTCCACAGTTTTGAAACTTTCAAACATCCCCAGAAGAGCCCAATCCCACAGTGTTTAGAGGCCTTCTTTACCCCTTTGTCCTTATGCAATAGGGCTTTGAATTGTTTTCTAAGGTATTTTCTATTAGCCTTGTGTGTAGGATCCCTTTGCTCACCAGACCGGTGCACAAACACTGATGTGTCTGTACTGCTACACATGCATAAATACGCACGTGACCACTCTGGCTAACATTTGCACACTCAGCCTTTCTCCCATCTCTGTGTAGGGTTCCATCTTCCCTCCTGACCACATTTGCTGTGTGCCTATGAGAAAATGCTGAGGAGTCATTCAAACAGAGCAAAGGCTTCTGGGTTTTGGATTGTGTCCCCTGCAGATAGCCAGGGGACTGGTTCAAGCAGACACGCTAACAACTCCCTTCCCAGCCCCTGACTGTGCAGACAGTCTAAGCAGCCTCACCTTCTTGTACTTGTGAGGGAAGGTGAACCTCTCGATGGTGTTCTGTACAGCTCCTCGGGTCACGTTTCCCAACCTGTCCTCGAGCTGTAGCAGCTCCTGTAGAAAGGAAAACACAAACGTGTGCTCAACATGTACGGATAGACATAAACACAGGCGAGAGGAAAGAGCAAGGAAGACGTGTGCAGGAAGCCGGCACGCTGCCAGCCGAAAGTGCTGGTGCAGTGTGGGAAGCTGCAATTTCTCTTCATGCCCTTGTTCTCTCTTACTTTCAATCCCGGGATTCATTCCCCACCCCCATCGGCATCTACCCACTGGTACAGAGAGGCAGAGAGAATGGTGTGTGAACGATAGCTTGCCATCCAATTGGGGCAACATACCTCGTAGCTCTCCCGAACAGCAGAGGTGTGCCGACTAGGATTTAGTCCCTGGAGCGCGAGGAAGTGAAGCTGTGGGTAAGGGTAGTTTCGAATTTCATGGACAACCTGACAGGAAGAAAACAGTTTGGAGAGAGTAACCAACCTTTCCAGGCTTCTCCTGGGCTTGAGAGGCAACCCCTCTTCTCTCAACCACCAGAGAGCACACCCAGACCTACTGCCCAGCAGGGATGCCCCTCCTGATTGTTTTCTACCCTATTCACGAAGAGCCAAGCTTGTGCACAGACTCTGATGACCATCAATATGGTGACGCTGACCCTGACTGAGCACAGGCTACACCGTAGCGCTAGTCTGCGTGCTTCCTGTGACCAAGCATTTCACTGCCTCACCTGATGGAACCTGCAGGGACAATTACAAATCCCCCTTCTACTGAGGGGGATGAAGACGGCACCAGGAGATTAAATAATCAGCCCATGTCACTCAAGCAAGTGACAGAGTCAAGACTCAGGCTCAGGCAACTGGGTGGCGGAGCCTCCTCTACTATCTCCAAGAGCAACAGGATAGCTGCAGGTCATCTCCAGGGCCAAAAAGGTCAGTAACCAAGGTAAACAGTAGTGTAATGCAATAAAAATAAATAAGTAAAAACAAATCTTTAGAAACCCATGAGGAACAAAATATTAGTCTTTTAAATACAGACTCTAGCCCCAAAGTTGCTGATCTGTTTTATTCAGCCTTCCATAACCCTGGCGAGGTGACAGACCAGCTGCCATCAAGATTTCCACTGCATACAATGGAACCAATTACTTCATCTCTAGGCCTCAGTTTACCAGTGTGCAAAATGGACATCATGGCTGGCTGCACAGGGTACTGGCAGGAGGAAGTAAGATTAGTTATATGCGGTGTTTATAATCGTGTCTAGTAAGTGCTCCTTTCCCAAGCCACGGGGTGGCTAGGTGACAGAAACAAGGGTTGAGAAGGGAGAATTCTATTTGGGGACAGCAACAAGAGTTTCTCTTGATATTATGTGTCACTGGCAGCCTCAAACCCACCCTGAGTTCTCTGGCACATTCTGGGTTTTATAGCCCCAAGAGGGGTACTCCTGGGAGTGGGTATCATAGGTCTGTGGGGAGGTCCTTCTAGGATCTATTGTGACATTCTCACCAGCCCTGTGAGAGACACGTGTGGTGTCTACATTCCATCTCACACCAAAAAAAAAGCATAGTCACACCCAGGGATGCTGTGGGGCAGTGGTCCTATACTTTGTAAAGATTCGTCACTTGTATTTTAATAAAACGCTGACTGGCCAGTAGCCAAGCAGGAAGTATAGGCATGGCAACCTGAACAGAATTCTGGGAAGAGAAAAGACTCAGTCTGTAGTCATCACAGATTAAGTCAGACACAGAGGAAGCAAGATGCCAACGCCTCACTGATGAACGGTACCAAGCCACATGGATAACACAGACAATTATGGGTTAATGCAGGATGTAAGAATTAGTTAATAAGAAGCCTGAGCTAATAGGCCAACCAGTTTATAATTAATGTAGACCTCTATGTGTTTCTTTGGGATTGAACAGCTGAGGGACCAGAAGGGACAGAAACCTCTGTAAACACAGAGAGATAGGAGTGTGTGTGTGTGTGTGTGTGTGTGTGTGTGTGTGTGTGTGCGGGCGCGCGCGCGTGCGTAGGCCTAAGGTCAGCTTCAGGTATTGTCCCTCAGGAGCTGCCCTCTTCATTTTGTGAGACTGAGGTGCTCAGAAGCACCAGGGGCTCACTGATAAGGCCAAGCTGGCAAGTCAGTGAGCCCCCCCCCCCGAGGGGGGGGATCTGCTGGCTTCCACTTCCCCAGCTCTGATGTTACAGGCACACACCACCACGCCTGGCTTTTGGTGTGGGCGCTGGGAATCAAACTCAAGTCCTCATGCTTGTACAGCAAGAGTTTTTACTGACTGAGCCATCTCCCCGGCCCCAGGGCAGAGTCTTTCAGCACTGGGCATTTCCCCCAAAGACTACAGCCTGCTGCACTGCCTCTTCTACCTGACACCGCTCAGCAGGGCTGGCATTTGGACTTGCTCTGTCTCATCTTCCTCAAGCCGGAATAAGAACTGGGGTTGAGAGTAGATGGCAGCTACTGGTCTGCCTAGGAACCAGGACTCAGAGGACCCTGAGCACCTGAGAGGAGAGCTTAGCCTCACCTCATTGCTAGCACGCAGGAGGCAGTGAAGACGTTCATACCCCGCCCCTCCCCCCCCCCGCCCCCTCCCCGGCCGCCTCCAGGACTCACCATCTGTGTGGAGGAAGAGTTTCTGGGGAAGTGGTGCATTCGAGGAGTGGCTAGGTAATGCTGATAGTGCTGAGGGATGGGCCGCACCTGGAACTGGGCAGGACTCAGGCCAGCGTCCACACTGAGATCCCTGTGGGGACACAGCCTCGTGAGTTACAAGGTCGGGGAGGTACCAACCCATTTCAGACGAGGTCTCACACACCACCTTGGGGCTAAGTCGGAACTCATGCTACGAACTCTGCCCTTCAGAGTGGAAGAAAATGGCATTGATTAATCTTCCTACAAGCTGCCTACCCACAACGAGCAGTTTCCATGTCTCCCTCCATCTCGCCCCCTCCCCGGACCCGCATCTAAGACTCGAGGCACCTGGAGCAGCCCAGAACCATTCTCCAAGAACCAAGCCCAAGGCTCGCTCCCATGGAAGAGTCCAAATGGAGTATGTCAGGGATACTGAGCAAAGGAAGCCAGGACCAAATTGAGGATGGGCAGTGATCAAAATATTTTCCCCACTCCATAAAACCACAGGCGAGTGACTCCCATCGACTGCTTACCATACAGGCTAGAAAGGAATCCCAATCCACCCTGTCACTTCCTAAAAGTTTCGAAAAACTCACTTTATTTAAACATGAGTTTCACTAAAACATTTCCAAATTCAACGGAAACTGTAAACCTACAGGCTCAAAATGATAAACAAATTTCAATAGTGTAACATAAAGAAAATAACTCAATGTACATAACAATAACATTTTAAAAATAATAAAGATAAAAGTTTAAAGCCAACCTGAGATTAAAGAAAAAGGCCCCTCGGATAGAGAAGGGTACAAATTATCACAGAAGCAGCCAGAAGAGAAAGAATTAACAGAAATAAGAAGAAATCAAAAAGATAATATCAAGCATGAAGGCTGCATCCAGTAAAAATGAAGATGAAGCAAAGCTTTGTTGGACGAGCAAAGGCTGGAAGGAGGTATGGGGTGGGTGCTGATGGGCCAGCACCAGAAAAATAGTCAAGCAAGATCTGCAGACAGAAGAAAATGATGACAGTAAGAACTTAGATCCTCACAAAGAAACAAAGAGGAACCGGTGACTAACGAGAAACGGAGCTCATTTGGAGTCTGTGGAGAACATGCAAGAGGAGAAACTGGAACATTCTGCCATAACCAAAGGCAGGAACACTATTAATGTGCACCAGGGTCACGGCAGATGGAATCTTCCAGAAGAGGCTTGCAGCAGCCAGGTTTGGATAATGTGCATGTCAGGAACTAACTGCAAAAAGATAGTGAAGTCCATGAAAGACATTAAATGTGGGCTGAGATGATGCTGAACAAAAGATCCTCTCTGAAGGATGCCAAGGGACCAGCTCCTAACCCAGCACCCAGTAAACAAAGGGAAGACCCAAGCGTCTGACTTGCCCTTTCCCGGATTAAGGTACTTTCAGGGTAACCAAAGGGCTGATGAGGGTCATTTCTCATATGAAGCTTTCCAGGAAGCATATGAACAAGAAATTATTAAATTATCTGACACCATTTTGCATCCTCCAAATAAATAAAGACCCAGACAGAGGTCATCAATTGCTGCCAACATCACAGAAGGACAGGCAGCCATACCAGAGTATTTTCTGATAGAAAAACATAGTGATATTCCCAAAGTGTTTCTGCTAAGAAACAAGAGAGGGAGAGAGAGGGAAAGTAAAGGACAAAGTGAGGGAAGGAGGAAGGAAGGGAGAGGGAGGGAGGGAGAGACAGAGAGAACTAGGAACTTTTTAAATGGTTTCTTAAGACAGAGCCTTACTCTGTAGCCCAGACCAGAAATGAACTTACAATCCTCCTGCCCCTTTAAAATGTTAGGATTGCAGGCATGAGCTGCCATTGGTCTACTTTTGAGGATTACTTGAAGTGACTTCGGAGTGGTCAGAATGTAACAGCAAAAACTAAATAAGGGGAACTCAACAGGAGGAGCAGTCTAGTTTTTCACCCTCCCCAACACACACACACACACACACACACAGAGAGAGAGAGAGAGAGAGAGAGAGAGAGAGAGATTAAAGGCATCCTGCTTTCCTTTTAAGGTAGCAGAGATTGCATTTTTCCTTCACTGTGAGCCACTGGACAGACTATACAGCATCTGCGTTCAGATATTGCATAAACCAGCACAGAGCTGTGACCCAGAGCGGACCCATGACAAGGATGGAGACCCTGGGCTGTGGCTCAAGTTCAGGGTCAGGTTTTAGACATGGATGGAGAAGGGGGCTATTTGAGAATTATCTCCCAAGGCCTGATGCTCTCACTCACTCTTAGGATATCTACTTGAAGAATTGACTGGGAAGCGTATGATATCACATAGTAAGACCAGGATAGCCTTAAACTTGGGGCTGGCCCAGACCTGAGGCCAATCCTCTGAATGACCCAGAGCGGAATTCAGTGACTTCTGATGGTACTAAAGGAAAGGACTGGGGAGGTGGTGGCTGTTGTGACAACCCCTTCCCTTCCAGGAGGTCCCTGCAGAGAGTTAGAAGATCTTTCCCTACAATGCATCTCCTGTCACCCAATTACTCGCTGTCTCCTGGAAGATGAGGCAGCTCCATGGACGAGAATAGAGATACAGTTAGCATGAGTGGTGGACTAAAAACAAAGGGGAAAAAAGCCTTCTCACCATTGGGTCCACCCTTGCTGAAGCAGAGCTCCTTGCAAGGAGGAAAATCTGCTGCCCGGGTGGGAACAGGACCAGCAGAATGAGCTCAGGGGTGGGTCCACACAGGACTGTGGAATGTGGACCAGGCTCACCAGCCTCCCAGATCCTTATTCTTAATGTTTCTCAGAACAGCAGGGAATGCAGAGAGGTTGACAAGAGAAAGAGGATGCGGTTTGGATGCATAAACCAGCTAAGGACAGGGATGATGCATTGCACTGCTCCTGACTCCTCCCAAGGGTGACGTCCCATGGTAGATCCCACCTGTGCAGTACCCCACACCGTGTCAGACCCCGTGTTTGTGTTCAAATCGCTCAGCTGTGGACAGGGTTCTGGGGGCTCCGTGTGTGCTGAATTGAATTCAACCGAGCTGACTTTACTGCTGAGGGACAGAACTGAATCCAGACTGCAATTAAACCTTCCTCATTTGAATCTGCTAATTGGGAAAAAGGCTGGGCGGAAGTTGGCAGTAGTGCGATCCGTCTTTTAAGAGAGATTGTTCAGCTTAGCAGGGAGTACCTGAGAATGCTAAAGATGGCAGCCAACAGAGCACGCTCACAACACATGGCGCCCAGAAGCATGGGAAGCAGTGAAATCAGTCCCAGCTCTAACGGAAGGGGCTCCCAAAGCCGCCCTGACCTAACCAGCTTTCCTGGTCCCACGTGTGGAAGATGACACACTGGCTTGTCAACGCTCTCTTTCCATTGAGGACTATTCTACCCACCCCTTCTTGTATTCTTTATCTAAAAGAAAAACAAAGAATTCCAGGATCTGCTTCACCTCCATTCCCCCCAAAGTGACCATTACAGCCTATCTGTTTCTTTCTGTGACTCTTTAGGTGCACATAAGTACGCACATAGAGAGATAGATAGATAGATAGATAGATAGATAGATAGATAGATAGATAATAGATAGGTAGGTAGGTAGATAGATAGGTAGGTAGATAGATAGGTAGGTAGATAGGTAGATAGATAGATAGATAGATAGATAGGTGTATGTGTAGACGGGCACATATATGTCTATATGTGCATCCCTCTTTAGAGTGAACTACCGCAGTATATCACTGTCCTCTGAACAAAACTGCCACCACTTTCATGAGACGAGCTGTGCCTACTTGGGCATCAGTCAGGACAGGGCCTGGGGACTGTTGACATCCCCTCAGAGAAGGAGGGATGGAAAGGACCACTGAACTGTCCAGTGAGGCTGCTTTGGGGGTTCCCCATGCTCCTGTAAGCATCTCCCTGCCCCTAGAAGGAAGCTCAATAAGTTCACTGGTTCTCAAGAGGAAACTGTGGTGAAATCCAACTTTGTTGATTTGTCATTTGGACCTTGAAGGGAGTGTGTAGACACTGTCCCGTTTCCCCAGGAAAGGAATTTTATCAACAATTACTCGGAAATCCATGATGCCCTTTACCTAGAAATACCCAGTGAACTATAGGTCTCTTAAAATTATCTGGGGAGGTCTAGTCTGACTCTAGTTAAGGCCAGATTTCTCCTGGGTGACAGCTGAGGAGGTGAATGGGCTGTAAAGTTCCAGAAGCATGGGAAAAGTTCCTAGGGGTCACTAGTTTCTAAGACACAACACACTCCATCTTCCTCTTTCACTCCTAAGTCCTTTCCTTACTTCTAACCTCTGCCCAGTCACACCCCATGCATGGCCTTGCTGGTGAGTTTTACCATAGCTCTGTGGATTCTTCCAGACCATCCTCTCCAGAAAGCCTTTCCTGACCACCCTGGCATCTCTGCGTTCTCCTCCCAAGCAGTCCTCTAGAGTCTACTGGTTTGTAGCTCTACTGAACCTGGGAAATATTTCACATCCTGTCTCTCTTCTTTCTGGCAGGACCATCAACCAGGATTGGCCCAGGATAGTGTCCGGTTACACTGAGTTCCTTCCTGTAACCACACCCTGTAGGTGACTGACGTAGACACAGGGTCTCAGTAGACTGGGGTTTAACCTGTACCCTTCGAAAGTGATACAAAACGAAAACCCACAGGTCTGGCGAGATCTCTCTGCCTCCATCCTGCGCCTCTGCAGCATCCCACCCACCCACCCACTCACCAGTCAGTGCCCTCAGCCAGATACCGGGGCTGAGGTGTCTGCAGTTGGTGGCCAAAGTCAAAGCTGGGGTGGAGGCGGTGGGGGTGGACAGACACTCGATCCTGACTCCGCCTGGACAGAAAAAAAGAAGCCTTTGTGTTAGGGGCTGCCTGGGTCAGGCAAGCTCCCAAGAGTTCTGAGTGACACTCCCTCCATCTACTGAGAATGCCCCCACTCTGCTATCCCCACAGAAACTAGAGTTCCCTAACACCAACGAATTTCCCAGGTGAGCAGAAACTGGTACCCTGTATCCTCCATCTGCTCCCACCATCCATCTCTCCACCACACTCTTCCTAGTTTTCAAGGAAGTGCCATCCTTCTCCAAGAAGCCTTCCCTGAACACACCAGACCATGGCAGCCTTGCTCCTTAACTTCTCACGACACTGTCCGGCGGCCCCAGCCACCCCAGCCATCCAGTCCCAAATGCCTAAGGACCTATACCTATCATGGAACCTTAGGAGCCTCTGGAGCCATTTAGGTAGCTTGAGAGTGAAAAACCCTTTCACCCTTCACTCTCTTGCAAGCAAACAGTGGGACTTTCTGGAAACTTTGTGACACAGGACTCTTCGAGATCTAGTACAGAAGCAGACATGAGGGCACAGGTAAGTTCTACCCAGCTGTGTGTCACAGAGACTTACAAATACATTTTGAGTGGTTCTTCTCACTAAACTGATACATGCTCATTTTTCATATGAATATTTTATAGCCCTGGGAATCCACAGGTCTCTCCACCCAGGGAAGCAGTTAGGCTAACTGCAGATCTTCACCTCTCCCTCCTTCTCCAGATCCAATCCCCCAGTCTCATCCCACCTCTGTAGCAGACTACCTGCTGTGGCCTCTCCTCACCCCTCTGTCCCATTCCCAGGGGATTAGCCAGATCCTCATGGAACACCCTGCTATCCTCCCTCCTGTGGACCTCCTTAGCACCCCGTTAGTCCATCCCCATTTATAAGTGTCAGCTCCCAATACCTAGAAACACATTTTGCCTGGAACCCCAGTGGCCACAGCTGTCAGGATCTCAGAAGAATCTCCTACCCGGCAACACACAGTCACCACACTCTCCCAAGAAACAGAGAGGAAACAGAAACCAAGGAACAAAGCACCCAACAAAGACGAGACCAAACATCAGTACCTGGAATTTCAGTCTTCCCAAACCCAGATGCCCAGACAGCATAAAAACACAAACAATAATAGCCAGAAACCCTACCACAGCAAGCCCTAAGTTTCTAACACAGCTTAAGCACAAGACAAAGACCTTAAAACAGCCTTTGTAGATATGATAGAGGCCCTTAAGGAAGAAATGGACAAACCCTTAAAAAATTCTATGAAAACAGAAACAATGGAAAGAAAGGAATAAACCATTCAAGACCTGACAGTGGAAAGAGAATCAATAAATAAATACCAAACTGAGGGAAATCTGGAAATGAAAAATTCAGGAACAGAACAGGAACCTCGGAGGCAAGCCTCATGAATGGAATGCAAGAGACAGAAGGGACCTGTCTCAAAAAACCAAAAAAAAAAGAGAGAGAGAGAGAGAGAGAGAGAGAGAGAGAGAGAGAGAGAGAAGGGAGCATCTCAGGCACTGAAGAAATGGATAGTTCACTCAAAGAAAATGTTCACTCTTTAACAATCCCGGCACAAAACAACCAGGAAATCTGGGACACTCTGAAAGATGAAAGCTATAAACAATGGGAATAGAAGAATAAGAAATCCAAGTCAAAGGTACAGAAAATATTTTCAACAAAGCCATAGATGGAAATTTCCCTAACCTGAAGAAGGAAGTGCCTATCCAGGAACAAGAAGCATAGAGAACACCAAACAGATTGAACTAGAAAAGAAAACTCCCTTGGCACATAATAACCAGAACACTAAGCATGCAGAACAAAGAAAGGAAACTAAAAGCTGCAAGGGAAAAAGACCAAGTAACATATAAAGACAGACCTATTAGAATTACACCTGACTTCTCAATGGGGACTTTAAAAGCCAGAAGGGCCTGGACAAACATTCTATAAACTCTAAGAGACCACAGAGGCCAGCCCAGACCCAGATGCCACACCCAGTAAAACTTTCAGTCACCATAGATGAACAAAATAAAAAAAATAAGATATTCCATGATAAAACCAAATTCAATGACTATCTACATCTCCAAACCTACAGAAGGTGCTAAAAAGAGAACTCCAACCTAAAGAGGTTAACCACACCCAAGAAAACACAATAAATAAATAAATAACCCCAGTTCAGCAAATCAAAGAGGGAAAACACACATGCACACACATACACGCATGCATGCACACATATACACACGTGTGCACACACACACATACACATACACGCATGCACGCACACACATACACACACATGCATGCACACACATACACACGTGTGCACGCACACACATGCGTGCATGCACACACATACACACGCGTGCACGCGCACACATACACGTGTGTGCTCGCACACACATACACGCATGCATGCACACACATACACACGTGTGCACGCACACACATACATGCGTGCACGCACACACATACACGCGTGCACGCACACACATACACACGTGTGCCCCCACCCACACGTTAGGACAACCAGAAACACATGGTAAGATCCTGTCTTGAAAAAAGAAGAGGAAGAAGAGGAAGAGAAGGAGGAGGAGAAGAAGAAGAGGGGGAGGAGGAAGAAGAGGAAGAAGAAGGGGAGGAGGAAGAGGAGGAGAAGGAGGAGGAGGAGAAAAATAAAGATTTTCTAGAATTGAATGAAAACAAGTACGTAACATAACCAAACTTCTAGGACACAGTGCAGGCAAGACCTTGGGACACACAGCTCTAAATGGGACATCGCTCTCAAATCCCTCCCCTCAGAGCTCAAGGGACCCTGAGGAAGAGAGATGGAAAGTGTTTAAGAGCCAGCGGGAATGGAGGACGCGAGGAGAACAACACCCTCTAAATCAACATGATCAAATCTCATATGAACTCACAAACTGATGCAGTACACACAGGACCTGCAGGGGTCTGCACCAGGTCCTCCGTGTAAATATTTATGGCTTCCAGGTTCGTGTTTTTATGGGATTCCTGAGTGCATCTCTGATTCTTGTGTCTTTTCTTGATGTTGGTCTGTTTCGTCTAATTCCGACTGCTAATTTCTTGTCTATTTTATCTTATTTCATTTCATTTCATTATTACCCCTTAGAAGCCTGTTTGTTTTCTAATGAGAGACAGAAAGGGAATGGATCCCGATGGGAGGGGAGGTGCTGAGGAACTGGGAGGAGCAGAGGGAGAGGATATCATAATCTGGATATATTATGTGAGAAGAAAAATCTATTTTCAATAAAAGATAAATTAAAAAGAGAAGGTTTTATTAATTTAGCACGAGGAGTCTATTGTTATTTTTAATAAATTAATAGGTGCTTTAAAATTTCTAACATGATAAACCCCTGTAAGCAGAGGTTCTTCGTAGTCGTTACTTTTTAGTGTGAAAAGAACCCCCGGAACCCAGAAGACTGAGAGGCGCCCAGCTGTGCTAATCCATTTCTTCTTTACAGCTGAGGTGCAGGTAGGATATTTGGACATTAGGACATTTGGTCACTGCTAATTGTATTCGGTTTCACGGGTGTACAGCCAGTCGCCAACGCCAGCCTCCAACTAGACGCTGGCCCTTTGGAGGCTCCCTTTGGTATCCTGGTGTGGTTTGAGGAAAAAGAAAATCAGGCCACCATGAGAGCTGGCGGGGACTTGAGAGACCTTTAGTCAAACCTCCCGAATGCTACAAACGTTCATCGTGCCGCTGACCCCTAACCTGGGTGATGTGAGGAGTCATCCTAGACCCTGACCTGAATGAATGCCACTAACTGAAGCAAAAAGTCATCCCCTGCAGAACCACTTGCGACTGCATCCAACTTTGGTTGCTAGAAGCCCAGCCGCAACCCTTGCCCCTCCGCGACCCCGCCCTCTTTCCTCGGCCCCGCCCCTGCCCACCTGGGATGCGAGACGAGCCTGCGGTGCTGAGCTTCCAGGAGCTGCTGCTGCAGCAGGTATTGCTGGTGCAGGGCCTGAGGTAGGAAGGAGGGACCTGTGACGTCCTGGAACTGCAGGGTGGGCAGCGGGGTCAGCGACTGGTGCAGCGCGCCGCTGTGCTGGTGGGCCGGGGCCATGTGGGCGCTGAGGCCCGGCTGCGACTGCACGGGGTGTGCCAGCGGGAAGTCCGGGGCTAGCTGCTGCGGCTGCGGGGGGCCCAGGTGGAAGTGGCGGCAGGAGGTAGCGTGAGGATGCTGAGACCTTTGAAAGGGGGCACCTGTAGAGGCAAAAGACAAAGAGGTCTCCGTGAGGACCTGCAAAGGGCTCTCCCACCTGAGCTCAGCGGGGGTCCCCCCACCCCTGGGCAATCGGAGCTGGTGAAAGACAAGACCTTCCTAACACAGCTGATCCTACAGGTTTTAATATGGGTGCCGCCATCTTTAACGCTCCCGGGTAAAGGTCCTCTGTGAGCTGGCAGAGAAAGAGCGTTTGTTTTCAAGTACGGAGAAGTACACGTATTTAAAGGTTCTAAAGCCGGCCTGGCTTTCTTGAATTAGGCTCCTCCCATGCAATTTCTTATGTGCACACAGAGAAAATTCAGGGCGACTTAGCCAAGCCCTGGGCTTTCCGGAGCAAGTTCTAATTCCAGTATAAGCAACTAAAATTTTGTGTTGCAGTTTTAAGCAGGAAGGGATCACAGAAAATCTGACCTTTTAAAATACCGATCAAGCCTGAGGTTGTTGACTCAGGCCTTTAATCCCAGCACTCGGGAGACAAGGTCTTTCTACATAGCCCTGCTGTCCTTGTCTCAAAAAAAAAGGGGGGGGGGGGGGAAGAAGGGAAGTAAAACAAAATTTTTTAGTCAAAAAATAAGATACCAGGGGGCTGGAGAGATGGCTCAGAGGTTAAGAGCATTGCCTGCTTTTCCAAAGGTCCTGAGTTCAATTCCCAGCAACCACATGGTGGCTCACAACCATCTGTAATGAGGTCTGGTGCCCTCCTCTGGCCTGCAGGCATACACACAGACAGAATATTGTATACATAATAAATAAATAAATAAATAAAATTTTAAAAAAAGATTAGAATTTACTTAGAAGAAACAAATTTAGGTATAAGCTAGACTCACATAATATTTAACTTAGGCTTCAGCATTTTGTGAATAGAATTGAGCTTAATTGCAACGTTTTGCAGATGCCTGGTTGGACAGCAGAGCATCAGCACTAGAGAAGTCCTCCCATGGGGCAGCCAGCAGATTTTACACTGTAGAAAGATCCCCAGAGGAATTCCTGTTAAAACTGGTAATTCAGCCAGGTGATGGTGGCACACCTTTAACCTGAGCATTTGGGAGGCATAGGTAGAGGTTCTCTGAGTTTGAGGCCAACCTAATCTACAAAGCGAGTTCCAGGACAACCAGGGCTATTACACAGAGAAACCCACTCTCAAAAAAACCACAAACAAACAAAAACCTGGTAGATTTAATCCGCATCTGGCTCTTCCCCAACCCCACTAAGATAAGAGCCAAGGATAAGAAAAAGATAGGGACAGAGGGAACAGGAGAGGTGACACCAGCAGACAACAGAGTTTGGAAAGCAAATGGAGAAATTAGTAAGACTGAGAAATCAGAAACCCACCACCTACCAAAGGGTCAGGGTGAGTCACAAGCGATGGGCAGAAGCCCTGTGAGGCTAAAGGGTCAGGAATGGGGGCAGCAGCTACTTTGGAAGGTGGGCTGGAGACATCATGGGACTGTAAACCTAGGGAGAAGGATGCTAGGTCTGACAGCGGGGCTACAGTGCACGGCTCCTGCACAGCTCCTCCCCTTTCCCATCCTCCCAGAAAGGTCCCAGTACATGGGGGAGGGGACACTAGGCACAGAAGGCAGGGGTACTAATAAAGCCAAACAGGGTCCGGTGAAAATCCATCCCGAAATCTATGGGACTTTGGGACCCCTACTTTCCTCTGTCAACAGCTACATGGCATTGTTCTGTATTCTATACAGGCATGCCGGGTTGGAAACTGGGGGCTGCTTCTTCAAAGAAAGTCACTGGTCCCAAAGTGCTCTACGGGTGCTTGTGGTTCAGAACACCCCAATAAAATGTCTCTGTATCCTGAAGCCCATTTGTCAAATTATTTCTATATGTGTGCATCAGGCTTCTAAACAGCTGATGCTGTTTAGAGGAGATGCTGAGGAGAGGATGGAAGAGATGCTGAAGAGAGGATGGAGGAGATGCTGAAAAGAGGATGGAGGAGAGGATAGAGGAGAGGATAGAGGAGAGGATGGAGTGACTTGCTCTGACACAATCAGGAAACCCTACAAAGTGAAGAGCGAGAACAAACCAACTTTCATATGAGAAAGAGAGGAAAGAAAGGAAAAAAACAAGAGAAGAGAGATAACGCAGGGACCAGAAAAAAATTTCAATATCTTTTTCAAAATAAGATATGAAATCTGTGAAATAACAGGAAGTGCTCTCAAAGGGAACAATGACAAAGATGGAGAGCGCTTGGAAATTAAAATCACAAGGTAAAATCTAGAGTTCAATAGGAGGGCTGGAAGGCAAGCTGAGGACACTCCCTGGGATGCAGATGAGACCACACTCTGAAGAAGGGAGAGGATAGAAGAGATGCTGAGGAGAGGATGGAGGAGAGAATAGAGGAGAGGATGGAGGAGAGGATAGAAGAGATGCTGAGGAGAGGATAGAGGAGAGGATGGATGAGAGGATGGAGGAGATGCTGAGGAGAGGATGGAAGAGATGCTGAAGAGAGGATGGAGGAGATGCTGAAAAGAGGATGGAGGAGAGGATAGAGGAGAGGATGGAAGAGATGCTGAAGAGAGGATGGAGGAGACGCCGAGGAGATGATGGAGGAGAGGATAAAGGAGATGCTGAGGAGAGGATAGAGGAGAGGATAGAGGAGAGGATGGAGGAGACACTGAGGAGAGGATGGAGGAGACGCTGAGGAGAGGATGGAGGAGACGCTGAGGAGAGAATGATTGGGGGAGGATTTTTAAAAAATACTTCCCAGACAGACGATCTGTTTTTCCAGATAGGAAAGGTAGTCTCAGCAGCCAACAAGACAGGCAGTGGCAAGAACCACACACCAGGGCATACGATAAACAACAAACAGCAATTTTAGGGTTGGGGTCACCACAACATGAGGAACTGTACTAAAGGGTCACAGTGTTTGGAAAGTTGAGACCCACTGGCCTAGAACTTACTGAGTTCAAGGATGGCCTTGAACTTATGATCCTCCTATCTCTGCCTGCAGAGTGCTAGGATTATGGGCATGCCTGGTCCAAACATTCACCTTCTTTGCTCCTTCTATAAGAGATGCTGACACATATTTAGAAAGAAAAGTAACGAAATAGGCCATACTCTGAAGAGGTGGGATATTCCCAAGCATACAGCTGCTCAAGACCCCAAACAGGCTGTGGAATCTGAAAGGTTGTTTGGGAACAGGAGGATGGAAATAGTATTTGAAGGAATTTTACACATTGATAGAGACTTCTGTAAGAATTTGCATAAATACCGTAAGAATCTAGGCAGCCATAAAGGGGCAGTGATCATCTCCAGGGAGATAAAAAGTTATGCAAGCAAGTGTAATTATTTCACACTACTTGGCTCAACAGTGAACAATGGATACTAACCATAAAGCAAATAATAAGAACAAGAATATTATTAGAACAAAAACAGTATGAGGAACATGAGCAATGGTCAGGAATTTTTAAATCAACAAATAGCAATCTAATGATTTAGTTTGAAATTTACATAGTAATGTGTGTAATTCAGGAAGTAAATGCCCAGCTCCAAAGAGATAGAGGCCCTGGGGAATTTGACTCTCAAGGAGAAAGGAGAGACAATAGTTGTTTGGCTAAAGTTATCTCGTGCTGAAGTTTGTAGACAATGCACAGTCTGCACAGCTTTGTAACCTGCATATCTGGGATGTGATGTGAAAGTAAAATCCATTCTTGCTTGACTCCCATGAACATCTGGATAAGTCAGGTCCCTCAGCCATATGACTCTGGCTCAGGGTATCCAAAAACCTGCAGCCTAAGAGGGCAGACACTAGTTCCCCCTTCTCAAGCCTCTGTCCATCATCAGACACACTAGCAGGGGAGAAGCGAGTCAGCAAGACAGAGGGAAAGAGGGCTTGAAGAAGAAGGAAAAGGCTGCTCTGAGAAGGTACAGGAGCAGAAGACGGTGGGACTACACTGGAAAGAAAGAAGTGGAGTTGTCTGTCTGTCTGGTTTTGTTTTTAAAGGATATCGGTGAGACTAAAGTCAGCTCTGCCTAGAGTTATGTGAGATACACACAGGTAATTTTAAATTTTCACATCAAAAGAGACAGGTACATTGATTTTAAGAACATGTAACAATATACTTAAAATGGTCTCTTAACAGGTATTCAGTATAAGAGTGTTTTGAGCTTTGTTGTCTTCTTTTCATACAGGTCTCCATGGGCAGCTGTGGTTCTGCCCTTCCAATGCCTTCCAGCCAGTGGAGTCTGTGGTATGTGGCTTCCCTGTGGACAATACAGCTATCAGGAAGAAGCCAACACCACAGAGATCCAGGCTTTCCCAGATGGTCTTCCTTCCAATGGAATGGGGAGCCCTTTCCTTCCTACCCGTGAAACCCACACACCATAGCCTGGTGTTAAGGCTTCTCCTTCTAGTCTCCCTAAGTCCTATATGGTGTGGATGGATGTCATTGAATGCCCGGGTTTCTGCCTGGTTATGGGAGGAAATGAGGGGGGAAACAGAGGGGCTAAGGGTCTGGGGCCAACTGAACTCAAACCTGCTTGAAATGGGCAGTGAGAGAGGAGGAAGGAGGTCCTGGATGAGCCATGGGTTTAACAAGGGCAGAGCAGGGACAGATCAAGCCAGCGTCCAGGTCTTCCACCTCTACCCCACTGGACTCTGTCTTGCTGCCAGGAGCAGCCGCTGCCCCTCCCATCCCACAGTCCCTCCTGCTCCTTGAAGGGAGATTCACACTCTAGCTGGCCTATGTGAAAAGGAAGACAGATGCCCGTCTCCAGAGTGAGTGGCGGAGGAAGTGCCTGTCAAATAACACTAAATGCAAGTTTTGCCTGCAGAGGACTCTTCTCTTGTGGGAGCAGGCATTCCCAGGGAGTTCCTGGGCCTCATGACCTCTACAAAAGTGCATAGAAGCTGGGGACACTCTAAGCCCTATGTCGTGTAGTCTTCATGAAAACAGCTGCTTGGTTTGGTTTCCAAAACCAACGGTGAAACTCAGGAGAATGTGGCGTCTTTTACAAGCCAACA